CTCGAGAAAAGTATATATCTGCAGAAAAAAACGAACCAGAAATTGGATGAACAGAGAAGTCTATTGCATTCCAACTTAAGAAATATTATCTCCAGATATTGTCTTTTACGTAATTAGTCAACGGTCGTTAAAGTGATATATATACATGTATACAGTATATTACAATAATCATTAAAAATATGTCAAAGCTCTGGAGAAGTTTTGCATCTTTCTCATAGTGCACAAAACATAATATTGTTTTTGTATAGTACGAATGTGAGACAGTTGGTCGGTATTATCTTCAATCATTAAAGCATTGTTCCTAACTTACTACTATTATATAATTAAAGAATAATATAGTGATTAGTGAACCACTTTATAGCTTAACTATATATATATATCATGGTACTTCAAGGCAAATAAAACATGCAATCTATATTTTATTTGCTCATTAAGTATTTTAATGTTATACTAATTAGTGTAGCGATTTAGAGCAAAGCAATTGTGAGGATCAGAACACGCTCCTTGTATTTTTACCCAAGAGGACAAATATATGCCAATAGCTAACTCAATTTATTTTCAACTTCCTTTCCCAGTGGTGCTCAAAAGGAATATGAGTTCAATATTTTTTACATATCTCACTGTATACCACATATATTATAAATAATTATATTGAGTGCACCTGTCACTAGATCAGGCCAACATGAGCTTTTTCTTTTGAATGGATTTTTGACCACATCCTTGAAAGTTACATTATAGTATTAACAAGCATTTGTGAAAGTAGAAGAAGTTTCTTATCTTCAAAAGTGCCTTTTACCATTACTAGTTAAATGTAGATAATTGCAACATTTTCTACTCACACTAGTTGTTGTCGTCCATGCGCATAATCTTATACCTTCCCTCTCACTCACCAGTTCTTTTTGTTTCAAATATAATAGGATGTGTGGACAAGTTTTGCAGACACAACTTTTTTTGCGAAAAGAAGAAAAGAAAGCTAAAAGCTCAAGATATTCCGGTCTTGTTAGTCAAGGTTGCCAATGCAGCAGAAGACTAGCGAAGATCCAGAAGGGCGTGTGTGGTGGAAATAATTTTAGAACATGAAAATGCCACTAAAATATGGTGAATAAAAACGGGCTGTCGGTTTCCACTACTTTTTGTTTTTTAAATACTTTTTACTATAATATATAATTTCCAATAAATGAGTGTAATAAATGGATCAAAGAGAAGTGAGAACATACAATTTTCAACAAAGGGAATGTAAGTAGATAAAAGATGAGTGAGAAAATTAACTCCCATAATTTATCTTCTCGAACCCATTGGTTAAAATCCAACAGATATAATCTATAATATTTCATTTGAACTCAACTCATTATATAGCTGCCCTTAAAGAGAATCACAAATTTGGAGCATTCTGTATGAATTTCCGGAAAGTTTAACAGCATTGGTCTAAAGCAAGAAAGAACAAACTGCAAAAAAATAATTAAAAAAATCACAAGATCCATCTTAAACTGCCACTTTGAGGGAATATGATGATTCACACGCACAACATAGGAAGCATATTCGTAAAGAAATGCATAGACCAAAACCTAATTGGAGTCAGAGTCTTCGTGGATGGCTGCAGCATGATATAAAGAAACTCAGCGCTCCAATTTTATATTTGAAGTTTTGGTGTGCTGAAACTAGCTAGCTAGCTAGCTTGCTTTATTTGATTCTTGATCACGAAAATTTGGTTTTATTGGCTCTAAGTATATCTCTTGGAAAGTGATGTCTCTCCTCTCATAGTGCAATTCAATTATACATGCGCATGCACACCACTGATCATGATGATCGATCACTACCTATATGGCCTAAAGGTGCAATTCAATTGGCACTTGTATACGTTGGTGAGTTTTCGGTAAAGGGATAAGCCCGCGGCTTCCATGGTCACTACCATTGCTTTGCCTTTGCTGGGAACTTGCAATTCACAAATACTGAAGTTTACTTCTAGAATGAAACTCAGTTGCTTTGCCTCTCTAGGTTGACATCTTTGCATGCGAATGAAATTAATGTATAAAATGTCAACCGCACACACAAAACTAATAACAGATAGAGTCCGTCCCTCTCTCACACCATTTTGCACACTAACATGATCTTCTTGGGGTCTTTCCTTGGAAGCTAAATGACTAGTGGTGCCAAAAATACAGATTAAGGTGATCAATTTCAATATAGTTCACACGTGTTTGACTTTTTTGGGTACAAATTTCATAAGCAGAGGTTACAGCTTACAAGTAAATACAAACTAGTGGAGACAACTTCCAACCAAATTGTAAGGCAATTGCATAATTTGAGTTATTTTTTTCATTTTCATTTTTTCATGAAATTATCTCAAACTAAATTGTGACTAGGCACTTGGGGTTGCGTCATGCATTGTGTCAGCTTCCTTTCTTTCCTAGGAACTTCAAGGTTGAAATTCCTGCCAAAATTCACGTCCACTTGCACATGTATATATATACACACACTATCAAATCGCTTAAGCCACACACCTCTTCTTCTATATCCTACTTTATATGCTATACAAAAGCCTTTTACGCACCCTTTTGATCACCATGAAAACTATGTACACTACCAAATTAACGGTGTTTATGTTGCTGATCATTTTCACAGCCAAATTACCTCCTAATGTAGCAGCTGCTCGGCCTTTGGATGACATGAAGCCGGCTGCCGCCGCGTTTGGTTCGAAGGTGGTGTATCGACCACAAGCTAGAGGTCAAGCGCCACCTGGTGGCCCCAACCCATGCACTCATATCCCCAGTCCGGGAAACGGGGGTTGCAACTGATTGATTATAATCAAAATCAAAACTCATCATCATCTGCTCCAGCCCTTGATCTATAATAGTCACAAGCAACTTGGTAAACGATGTATATGACTATATATAGCTGTAAAAAGATATATAGATTAATTGGGAACAAGGTTAGTTCATGCAGATTTATCACTTATCTGTATGGTATCCTTGGTACGTAGTACGAATTTCATTCCATATGTGTACAAATCCTCTAGTTAATTAGTAATATGTAAAGTAGAACTTAAGCCTTTAAGGCAATGCAATGATGTGCTTTCCTTTCCTTTCTTCTTAACGTTTTGCATTTATTCTTCTGCTTCTTCATATTGTTTTTTTGGTATATATTGCTTCTTCAATCTGATTATCCACAGTTTAGTTTCAGTTTTATCCAACGAAATGCATGCACTACTATTTCATATTTAACCAATTTGAATTAACTTCTTAATTATAATGGAGATGAAATAAATAACGAACACAGTTTCAACAAACCAGAAAAATAACTACTTTTTTATTAATATCATCGATAGTCTAAACAACAAAGAGAGAGGGTTTTTCACTACACACACTACTAATTAAGGTGCTATGAGGGTTCGAACTTAAAACCACTGGTCTGCAAGTCAATGTCCTTTTTCACTGGGCTAGATTCCATTGACAAAATAACCACTCTTTCATCCTTAACCAATATGAATTAGCTCCTCAATTAATTATTTGTTTGGTTAATATCATTATTATTTTTAATGATTGATAATTAGCAATGTTAATAAATAAAAGCCCCGCATTAGTTAAACCGAGTAGCCATTTTTACATATATATGCAGGCTGACATTTTAACCACAGAAAAAGAAGAAAGCTCGACAACACCACCATTAAGTAAGAAGCAACGCGTTGAGCCTTGACTTTAAGTGCCCTTTTCTTTGTCTTCTTGCTTCTCATTTCCAGAGAGGAAGTTGTTCCACAGCTACTTGCAACTTCATTGCACTAGCTTTTTCTCTTCTTCTTTTTTGTTTGCGAAATTTATATATATTTCCCCGTTGACATGTCCTTACTGTCAAAAGTTGCATATAATTACTAATTAACCCACTTTTTCCACCCCTACCCCCGCTGTAAAAGCATAATCTAGGCCACTACATTATAATTTTCCAGACAATATATGGTGGGAGACTCGGTTCTGGGGATTCTATTGCAGATGAATTAAACATTGTAGACTATATTTGTTTATTTTCCTTAACTGGTGGAAAGACGCATTTGGAGATAATAGCCGCATGTGCAATTAGGCTTCCTCATGTCCTGGAATCTGTCTCCTTTGCTTGCGTGTGTATATTTGGCAATAATTTAACAGAAAATCAAACGGTGAAATTGATGGAGTGCGTAATATTAATGAAATTGAAACCTTAGGACTCATTTCGATAATGACCTTAAACATGACGGAGTAAAATGTAGTCAATCCTATTCTTTTCATTCCGACAAAATCCATCGTCATTTGGCAGCACTTTGGCTTACTAAAGAATTAAAATAATTACTGATACTCCTTATATGACTAGCTTTCTCTTTACTCTACTTTTCCTATTCTTTTGGATAGTGGGAGGACTTAGATCATCTCCAACCATTGGGTAGAAACCCAAATTTTCAGTTTTGAGCTCAAAATTCTTCTCCAACCCATGTATTTTGGAGGGTGGAAATTTGAGAAATGTGAAATTTCGGGTGGAATTCCAATCCAAGTTTTGCCTGAACTGGTAATTTGTGTGGAGCTCTGTTTTGCAGCCCATGTGAAGAGGAAAAAGCGGTGGACTCCACGTGATAACAAAGTTGTCTGGCCAGCAACTCTTTTGCGCAACACGTGGCAGCTTCAGAAGAGAAAGACGTTGGAATCCAACGCCTGAAAAAAGCTGGGTGGTTTTTTTTTTTATTGCAAAATTTGGGTTGTACTTGTTTTTAATTTTCAGTGAAATTCTATTATGCTTTGGAATTTTAATTTTTTTAGGTTAAAATGTTCACAAAATTAAATCACGAATATTGAAACAAAAATAATGTCAAGAGAAAAATTTACGACAAAAATAAATTTGGGTTAATCATTCTTAAACAATTTAATAAAGTTGTGGACTCAAATTATGAGTTTGTAAGGTGTTAGGAAAAAAATATTGAGTCCTGAAAATACATGAATAGTTGTATTTTGGAGGGTGAAAATTTGAGTTTAGCCCCAATATGGTTGGAGATGGTCTTAGGAGGCTTTTTAGTTTCTGATTTCCACAAGAAAGTTAATTACTAAGAATAACAAGAGTCCTTATCTCTGGCTTATTAATTAATTCATATCTAGTACAAATCTTTATAGTGCTTGCTTGCATTGCACTACATCTATATCTGCTGTTGTTCTTGCACTTTCTCGTTATGCTTCTTTCCATTGAGATGTGCCAAGGTAATCTGACCAGAGCTGCCCACACTACAAATTTTGCACCATAGACCTTGTATTATGCTGTTCTTGCACTTTCTCCTTATGCTTATTTCCATTGAGATGAGATGCCAAGGTAATCTGACCAGAGCAGCCCACATTACAAATTTTGCACCACAGAGGTGGCCCATTCTTCTTTGTATTCTGCTGTTCTTGCACTTTCTCCTTATGCTTGTTTCCATTGAGATGAGATGCCAAGGTAATCTGACCTGAGCAGCCCACATTACAAACTTTGCACCATAAAGGTGGCTCATTCTTCCTTGGAGCCTTTTTTGCGTTCTGTTGTTGCTCTTGCACATTTTCCTTGTGCTTCCTTCCACTGAGATGAGATGCCACGTCAATCTCACCAGTGCAGCGCACATGACAAATACTGCACCACAGAGGTGGGTCATTCTTCATTGGAGCCTTATTTGCGTTCTGTTGTTGCTCTTGCACATTTTCCTTGTGCTGCCTTCCACTGAGATGAGATGCCATGTCAATCTCACCAGGGCAGCTCACGCTACAAATATTGCACCACAGACGAGAACCCTTCATCCTTAAAACTTCATTTATGTTCCGTTGCTGGCCTTGCACGTTTTCCTTAAAATTCATAATAAGATTCCTTTTGAGTCTATCACCAGATACACCCTCTGCGACCTCCGTGGTTTTTCCTTTTATCTCCCTAGAAGTATATTTGCTGTTTTCAGTCCCAGTGAAATTAGGCTCTGCCTGTAATGGAAATGAGCTTCAAAAAGAAAATTGTTGCTTTATTGTTTCCACTCTTTACGGCTGAAAGATTAGTTCAACTAACATCATCAGATAGTATCTGAGATTTAACATATTTCTTCACCAAATTTGACCTACTTACCTCGCAAGCAATAGTTCTTTCCAAAGCTTCAGGTACATTCTCCTTTACATATCTCTCCACCTCAGCACGAACATCTTTGCTGACGAACAACAACTCCTTCCTCCACTTGTTGAACCAGTTGGTAACACTTTGGGGGTCCATGGTAAGGCATGGACAGATAAGATGTTTATAGACATAAAATGCACCATCAAAATGAGGTATCACCAACGATAAGGCAACCATTATCCTAATGTAATGCCACAGCGGGAGCCTGACATGTCCAGAATTGGCAAATAGGAAACACAAATTTCAGCATCTTATCCAAAAGGACTTAACTGATGTTTAACTAGGTAGATTTTTACTTCTATTGTTCTGAACAAACAAGTGAAAGGAAGTTTCTTTAAAGAAATATTTTTCTGAACAAAGATGGATGTGATATGTGACATTTGGTGAAACAAATAGAGTCTGTGAAGCTTAACTATAAATTACATCTGTTTGATTTTCTCAACAAACAAACAAACATCTGTTTGATACTATTGAAATGAATTAGAAAAAAGCAATTAGAGAATTTTTAAATAATCCTACGGTATACTTTAGGCATGTGTTCATCTACATCTAAACAGAGTATGGTTTCTTCATCTCGTCTGTGGAACTATTGGCTGAAGTTTGGTTTCCTTCCTACAATATCAATGGTTGAAATTTTGATTTCTTTTATTTACTTGGCAGTGAAAAGGTGCAATATGCGGTTAAATAAAACAACAGAATTACCGTTCTAGGAGCTTCAAGAAAGCATGTTCAAGGAGCAAAATCAATGAGAAGACAACCCAATAAGTATTCAACCTCTGAGTATCTGAAATGGAATTGGTCTCAATCGCCCTAATGGAACAACATCTGTCAACAAGGAAAACAATCTTGAAAGGATACATCATCAATCATCATCATTGTATTAACATGAACATTACAGTCCTAAGTCTATGGTTAAAATCTTTAAATCAAAGATAACTTTATTATTCTCAAAATAACTAATATAAAAAATTACAACCATTTTATTTTCCGTGCATTTGTATTTGACAAAAATTATGCAGAACACAATAAAAAAATTCCTTAAGTTTGTGTCTAGTTTCTCAGTCTTTAGATCTAGTACTTGGTTTCCTTTTGTGACTTCCTTCCCCTTCTTTCTAGGGGCTTTAAATGAAGCATCATTTTGATTTTTGACCCCAAAAAATCCTAGAGTAGAGGTTGTCCGCAGATTATATCTCATCAGAAGAACTAGATATATGAATGTGTGGAAGAGAGGCTTACAGAGGATACACCAAAGCAAGCAGAGGCCTACAAGTAAATCACAAATAACATGAAAACTTATCACATTCTGAGAAAATTTGATCAACTGTTTAAATGTGCCAAGGTTTTTCATCCTCGGAGAAAAAACATACCATGCAAGAACATCAAAGCATTGAAGAGAAATTTCTACAAGACCCACCATACCCATCTTGAGTTTCAGCTTCTTTGTTGGTCTCTGTTGTGTGGGATTGGAATTTTAAAGACTCGGCGAGAGACCCCTGTTCTTTTTGTGAACCAAAGACTTGTGTCGGTACAATGAGAACCCCAAAACCTTAATAACTAAGGTTCTTCTTTGGTTAGTACAATAATGTACAGGTACATCAAACTCTTTAAGGGCATATATGTCTATGCATTGTGTTTTGAGGGGGCATCTGGTGCTGGGGATACAAAAATGAAATGGGCATGTCGGTCTTGAGTGTTAAATTTCAAGCAACACCGATATCGTCCTTAATAACTAAGGTTCTTCTTAGGTTAGTACAATAATGTCGAGGTACATCAAGCTCTTTAAGGGCATATATGTCCATGCATTGTGTTTTGAGGGGGCATCTGGTTCTGGGGATACAAAAATGAAATGGGCATGTTGGTCTTAAGTGTTAAATTTCAAGCAACACCGATATCGTCCTTAATTTAAACATCTACAAAGCCCTATAGATATGAGGTCTAATCTCGGTCATATTAGTAGTGGAACCACTCATTATATATTGTATTTTATTTAGTCAAGTTTCCAATATAGGACTTATATTCTTCAACACGACCTCTCATATGGGACTACCACATAGTAAGCCACACGTAAAGCCAAGTCCACATCGAAGTCAAACACTCAAGTCCAACACGTGAACATCACGTATTAGGTAAGGAATAAAGATAAACATTCAAGTCCAACATTTAAACACCACATATTATACAAAACTTAACCCGTATTATAGTTCGTGGTTGCTTTGTCTGATTCATAAATAATATTTGGAGTCACAAGAGTATTCTTCATTTTTTGGCATAAAAGTGTGCATATTAATTTGCAGCACTTGTATACATTGGTGAGTTTAGGCAATGGGATAATCCAGCAACTTCCATATGGTCACTCCTAGGGTATACAAGATCCAATCCAATTTTAATTGGTTTTGATGATTTAGCGGATTGGATTGAATCTGTAATTTTCAAAACTGACATGATTGGATTAGATGACGGATTTGCTTATGAGAACCCAATCAAATCCAATCCAGTATGATTAGTTTTATGCTTATTTTGCTCTTGTAGGTATTTGTAGTTGAAAAAGTTATGAATATTTTAAGTCATGAAGTTATGTTTAATATGTTTAATTAGATTAAACCTAAGGATGAATGTTTAATATTTCATTATTGTCTTTTTTCATTATCAAAACCGATCATCCAATTCAATCCAATATCAACTGGATTGAATCATATTGGATTTAAACATCTAATTGATAAGATCGGATTGAAAAAATCACAATCCAATTTATATTAAATCAAATACAAATAAACTAAATTATATTGATTTCGAACCAACATACACCCACTACCATTAATTGCTTTGCCTTTGTTACTTATGAGAATCCAATCAAATCCAATCCAGTATGGTTAGTTTTATGCTTATTTTGCTCTTGTAGGTATTTGTAGTTGAAAAAGTTATGAATATTTTAAATCATGAAGTTATGTTTAATATGTTTAATTAGATTAAACCTAAGGATAAATGTTTAATATTTCATTATTGTCTTTTTTCATTGTCAAAACCGATCATCCAATTCAATCCAATATCAACTGGATTGAATCATATTGGATTTAAACATCTAATTGATAAGATCGGATTGAAAAAATCACAATCCAATTTATATTAAATCAAATACAAATAAACTAAATTATATTGATTTCGAACCAACATACACCCACTACCATTAATTGCTTTGCCTTTGCTGGGACCTTGCAATTAAAAAATAGTCAAGTTTACTTTTAGCATTGAGTAAACTCAATTGGCATTCATATGTGGGTTGACATTTTTGAATGCAAATGAAATTAATGTATAAAATGAGTGGTTGCCTTGTTCCCATTTTGCACTAACCGTATGATCTTCTTGGGGTCTTTCCTTGGAAGCTTTACATTTCTTTCCATTGACAGCTACACACTTATAACAAATGAGTGGTTGCCTTAGAAA